GGCTTCAGGCAACGGTCCGCGCGTCTCCTCCCACCCCACTCTCGTCATTCCCTCGTGCGTCCCCTCTCTTCCGTCCTTATTGTCTTCCTGCTCCTCCTCTGCTTCCTCCTGCTGCTTACTCCTCCCCCGATCCTCCCTTCCAACACCCTCCCCTCTCCGAGGATGGAGGTGGAGGAGAAGGAGGAGGCGGAGGAGGAGCAGGAGGAGCGGGAGCAGCAGGAGGTGGAAGAAGGATGATCAGAGAGAAGGGGGAGATGGAGGAGGAGGAGGAGGAGGAGGAGGAGGAAACAGGAGGAGACAGAGGGAGGAGCAGGAGGAGCAGGAGAAGGAGGAGGAACAGATGGAGAGGAGGGCGAATATGGAGAACATGGGTGAGATTAACTCAAAATGTGGAAGAGGGTCAGAGAGATGCAATCTATGTGTATATATAGAGAGAGAGAGGTACATGGGGATGCAAATAACGAAAGAGAGAGAGAGAGAGAGAGAGAGAGAGAGCGGAAAGAGAAAGGGAGAGAGAGTGGGGCAGAGGAGAGAATTCTCGTCCCTCCGAGTGGTGCCCCACCCCCGCACAGAGTCATTCAAGCAACTCTGGCTCAGGCAGTGCTCCAGCGGGCGCCCCTTCTAGTGCCAGATAGAAGGAGCACTGGCTAGCACACGGATGGCGAAAATTTGGACCAGGTGCGAATTGTGCCGCCGTTGTGAATGGAATTCCAAGTTGCAGGCAGGTGGCCTCAAGCACCCGAAGTGCGGCGCCAGCACCTCCCTGTGCACCCTTGCTTCAAGGACGGTGCGATGCAGCCAGGGCTATGACAATGACACGCTTCATGATGCGCCCAGTGGAGATGAAGATGGTGCCCTCCCGCTTCCACATGCCCCCTGGGGTCCTCCGAGTTGGCAGCCGCAGCGCCCCCTCCCCCCCCCCGCGGAGCGTGAGCGCGGCGGCCGCGGCAGCGCGGGGGGGGGGGGGAGGGGGGGGCAAGGGCGGAGGCGGCGACGTCCAGGCCAATCGACTCCCCCAGGAGGTGGCCGAGCTGGTCCACGACCCCGCCCCCAAGAAGGTGCTCAGCACCACGGCCGCCATTGCTGGACCAGTGGCAGGGGCCGCTCCATCGTCTACTCCGCCTGCACCAGTCGATGCGCTGCAGCAAAACGGAAGGAGCAGCCAAGCGTGCCGGGCATTTACACGACCAAACAGTGAGTAAGTTCGCGCGCCTCCAAAGCAACCTGGCGGCCGCGGAGAGGGATGATCGGTACCTTGCGAAACAGCTGGCGGATGCCCTCAAGGCCAAACGCACGGTTGCGACGGCTTGCGCCGAGGCCGGAGGCGTGGCCCAGAGCGCAGAAAGTGGCCCAGGGCTCTCGGGCAGGCTGTTCACGATTGCGTGGGATGAGAAGTTCCCAATGAGCTGGGGCCCGTGGAGTGCGAGCCGTCGGCGAAGGAAGGGATGACCAACATCCAGAAGCAGGTGCAAAAGGCCCGCAACACCTTCAACGGCCGCGAGGATGAGATCAAACCCTGGCTTCGACAGGCTGATGAATACGAGCGCCACGTCACCGATCGCCTGCAGAAGAAGAGGCGCGCCAGCGATTGCTATGCATAGCGGCCCGCCACCTTGCCCCAGCAAGGGGCGGTCAAGGCTACCGTCGCACCAGAACAGTCGCAGGACGCCAATCTCTCGGAGGATACGTTTTAGGACAAGCAGCGGAAGGAGCAGGCGATCCAGGAGGGGACCAGGCGAAGTGCAAGGCGAAGCTCGGGGCCGCGAAGGCGCATGGCAAAGGCGCGACATCCGCCGTGTCCACGCCTACCGCCTGACGGTGTCGAGCGGGGACCCCACAGACGATGAATACTGTTCTCAGCTATTTTACGCCAACGTCACCTGCCTGACGCAACATGTGGTGAACGTATAGTCAGGAGAATGTTGCATCATTCGACCATTGCGCCCTGGTAGAGACTCGCGTGCGCAAGGAGTCGGCGATCAGGACGTGGGAGGATTCTGCTAGAGCGGCCCGCCGCTCCCCGAAAATAGTCCCCAGTGCCAAGAAGGCCCAGTCCAAAGAGGGAGGCGAGGTGTTTCTGTCTCGCAGACATCTTCATATACAGCAGCGATCCGAAGTTCGCGCAGCCGCCAAGTGCCTGCAGACCCCGAAGCAGTCGGCCTACGACGCTTTCAATCTTGCAGCAGCAGAGCAACGCGATTGTCCTGGTGGCCCGGTACTCGAACCTTTTCATCGAGATGACCCGGAGGCACACCGAGAGGTTCTACTGGCTGGGTGGCCTCCTTCGCGCTCTGAGGGCCCCGCGGCTCATCGCTGGCGGCTTCGACGCGACGCCCGCGGTGCTGCGGCGCGCCGCCTCCTGAAATGCAGCGGGCGGCTCGATCCGCGCGCCAGGTGGGGTCGATGGGACATGTGCCCAGACAGGGGGGATCAGGCACCATGATCGATTGCGGTCTCATGGGCCTAGCAGCATCATCCGCCGCGGAAGGTTTCGCAATTTTTCGCGACGCGGCATGGGAGCCCCAGTTGAGCGTTTCCTC